CCTGTATGTGCTCTAGAGCCATACATATTGAAATGCTTGATGACCTCACTACAGATGCCTTTATCAACGCATTGCGTGGATTCATTGCAATACGCGGACATGTAAGACAGTTGAGATGTGATCAAGGCACTAACTTCGTAGGTGCAAAGGGAGAGTTCTTGAATGCAATGAAGAATTTGGATCATGAACGGTTGAAGGAACATGGATGTGAGTTCATAATGAACTTCCCATCATCGAGCCATATGGGAGGCATATGGAAGAGACAAATAAGGACTATCAGAAGTGTTTTAACCGCAATCCTTGAGCAGTCTGCTAAACGACTTGACAGTGCCTCGCTCAGAACCTTTCTGTATGAAGTGATGGCTATTATAAATAGCAGACCTCTGACAACCGAGCATTTAAATGACCCAACAAGCTTTGAACCTCTCACGCCCAATCATATTCTTATGATGAAGTCTAACATAATATTCCCACCTCCAGGTGAATTTGTGAGTCAAGATTTATACTTGCGCAAGAGATGCGTCAGGGGCGTCAGGTGCAGTTTTTGGCAAACGAATTTTGGTCAAGGTGGAAGAAGGAGTATCTCCTTAATCTTCAGCAAAGACAAATATGGCAGAAAGAGAAGAGAAATACGAAGGTTAACGACATTGTCATCCTGCAGGAGGACAGTTCTTCACATAACCAATGGAGATTGGCAAGAGTGACAGAGGTGTATCCGAGCACTGATGGAAAGGTACGAAAGGTGAAACTGTTAATTAGTGACTCGACCTTAGACAGCCAGGGAAAACGCATTTCCAAGCCAGTCTACCTTGATAGGCCTGTACAAAAGACAGTTTTACTGCTTGAAGCAAAATAAAGGTTATGGTTGAAATTAAGGTGGAAAGGTTTAAATTGTGAGGTGAAATGACAAAATAGTCATTTGGTGGGAGTATAACTGCCATACATGTTGTTTCTGTTATTTAACATGTTTTGTTAAATTTGTTTAATCTATTCATGAATATTGAGCGTTTGTAACTAGGAACTAAAGTACAATTGCGTTACACACGGACACTTTTTTATGGTGCAACAGAGAAAAAGGACATACATTTTGGTGAAAAGGTATTCTCCGTGTGTGAATTTAAGAGTTACTCGTGTTTTGAGCAAAGAAGTAAAGAAGATGTTTTCATTTTTTGTTTGAATCGGGTATTTTCAAGTGAACTCATTCTCTCTTGGTTATATGCAGCCAGCGAGGTATGTGTATTACGTTTGTATTTCCCGAGTGTATTTGTATTTACTTCTTTAAGGTTTATGTGAATGTGTTTCTTTTACATTGTCATACTGTAGTTTGACGGTGGAATTCATTGATGATGAGTGAGATGGCGAAGATAAGGATGACAAGCGAAATAAATCCATCGGTAACCAGAACCACGGTCTCGTTTATTTCCCGGAGGGAGTGATACTGCGGCTAAAAGTATTGCGCTCGAGGCTCACGGCCTTCCAAAGAAAAGAGACCTCGTATCTAACCCCCGCCATCCCGTTTCTGCGGTTGCCGAGGCGCCACACGAGACGGTCGCTTGGGGTGACGCATGCGAGCCGGAGCTCATGGAGAGCGAGATGATGGAGTTTTCTCCCTTCTTCTCGCTCTCTCCGAGCCACATATGTTCAAGCGTACGAGGAGTGCTATGTGGACCCGGTTGTCTTTATCAATGATATTTATGGAAGCTCGTAATGTGATTCTTTCAGTTGTGAACCGTATTTAAAAGTATTCTTAGCAAGCTATAACATAGTGAGCAGACGGTTTTTCCTATCTCTCTTTTATACTTCCGATGCTGCACTAATGCAGACACGTTCATTTGAGTTGACGCTTATGCTTCCAACTCTTGTTCATGTAATGTTTTTAGACGCAGACTCTGAGGAGTCCTGCAGCAGATGTATGTCGTGCACTATGGTTTTGGCGCTTCTTGCTATCAAGCATAAGTTTGCCCGACTAATTACTAATTACTATTTCTTTCAGCTCCGCTGCTGCGTCGAGCTGAAACAAATAAGTGGATGAGCTCACGTATTTAAAAATATTCTTAGCAAGCTATAACATAGTGAGCAGACAGTTTTTCCTATCTCTCTCTATACTTGCGACGCTGCACTAATGCAGACACGTTCATTTGAGTTGGCGCTTATGCTTCCAACTCATGTTCGTGTAATGTTTTTAGGCGCGGACTCTGAGGAGCCCTGGAGCAGATGTATGTCGTGCACTATGGTTTTGCCGCTTCTTGCTACCAAGCATTAGTTTGCCCGACTAATTACTAATTACTATTTCTTTCAGCTCCGCTGCTGCATTGAGCTGGAACATTAAGTGGCAAGCTGTTTTAACAGTATGCTATTACGGCTCAGGCTGTAGAGTGAGCAGGCGGTTTTTCCTATCTGTCTCTCTCTCTCTCTCTACTTCTGCGCTGCACTAATGCAGGCACATTCAACTGAATTGGTGCTTGTGCTTCCGACTTTTGTTTTGTGTAATGCTCTTAGGTGCAGATTCAAGGAGTCCTGGAGTAGATGTTGGTCATGCACTATGGTCTTGGCGCTTCATGCTACCAAGCAGTAGTCTGTTCGGCTGATAATATTTCTTTCTGCTCCGCTGCTGCTTTGAGCTGGAACAAATGAGTGGGCGAGCTCACATATCTAGAGTGATTCCTATGGCAAGCTGTTTAACACCTAATTCCATAGTGACTCAGGCTGCAGAGTGAGCAGGGGTTTTTCATTTCTCTCTCTACTTCTGCACTGCATTAATGAAGGCACGTACATTGATTTGGCGCTTACGCTTCCAACTCTTGTTCACGTGGCTGCTTTTAGGTGAGGTCTCTGAATTCCGCAGCTGACATTTTGTCGTGCACTATGGTTTTTGACGCTTCATACTTCTCTGACCAACTAATAATTATTATTATTCTTTCAGCTCCACTGCTGCTTTGAGCTGGAACAAATTGTGTACTCTGTTCTGTAGAACTGTGTGAATGAGTTTACGTGTAAGAGTATTTTCTTATGGCAAGATATTAATGCTCACCATGGTCAGCCTACTTCATGTGATTGATGCGGCGCTTATGCTACCAACACTCCCTTTACGTGACTGGCTGCACTACGTGACTGCACGCTTCATGCTACCAAGCAGTGATTTGTATGACTAATTACTCTGTTCTTGTCAGCTCCGCTGTCACATTGAGCTGGAACTTTTGCATGAATGTGGGCAACCTTTAAGTGTGTTTGCCTCTCTGTCAGCTGTTTAGCCGCTTGTTGCGTTTCGGACTGATTTTTACCGTTCTCTGCACCTTAGCTTTCGGAGATCGAGGATAGCCCTAAGGCCATTGGTGCAGGGTCTATGTCGACATCCAAGCTCCCACTTCTGTGGTTGTTGCTGGCTTGCCTGATTTTAGGATCTATTTCCAGGTTTCAGAGGTTTTTCCCGCAACTCGGGTGTTTCGGGGCCTCATGAAGGAGGATCAGACTGTCGTATGGTTACACCATCCAGCTTCTATGGTACTACCCATTTTGGAAGTAACGCTGTCACTTCTAATGTGACTGATTGCGTTGATTTGGATTTGCATCACCTAATCTTGTGCTTGAGTAGCAATTTCATGATGCTGACGCAGAGGTTCATCCTGTCTCTATCTGAACCGGAGATTGGTTTGTGACCATTGATCCAAGGATGTGTACTTCTGCATCCAGATTGTCAAGAGACACAGGGAGTTCCTCAGGCTTGCTTTTGGAATAGAGCTTGCCAATACTGTATTTTTCCATTTAAACTGGCCTAGAACACAAGGTGAATGGACATGTCTCTGGCCCCGTTGTGGCTCCAGGGTGTCTGAGTTTTGAGTCAACTTAACGATTGGCTGGTATTAGCTCAATCACATAAGCCGTTTGGAGACGCTTGCATTTAGGTCAGTATGGCAACACGGCTGTGGTCTTGTCAGGGAGGTTTACACTTACGCCTCCTGTGCAGGTTAGCAAGATGACTTCTTTGGGCGCAGACCAAGTTCCTGTCAGTCAAAGCAGTCCATTTGAGCCAATTAAGTCTGTGTCAGACAACTTTGACCTTTAAGACGGTTGTTTTGGTGGCCCTATCCTCTCTTAAGAGAATTGGGGATCTGCAGGCTCTTTCTATCAGCTGTTCTTGTATGGACTTTGCCCCGGGGCTGGTTAAAATCTTAGGCCTAGTACGTTCCTAGGTCGCTTCGACTCCGTTTCGCTTTCAGCAAGTGGTTGGAGGCTTCTCCTCTGCTGATTGCTGGGTCAGATAGTATGTGCAACTTCTGAGTCTTGCCTGGTGAGGGTGTTGAAGATCTATGTCGACCGCACAGCCCAGTGGTGTGGATCTGACCAGTTGTTTGTATGTTTGATTTGATTAAAAACAAAGGAGCTGCCGTCACTAAACAGAAAATATCTCATTGGATAGTGGAGGCTATCTCTTGGCTTATGAGGCGTATGGTTTGACTTTGTTCTAGGAGTGCTTCTTCTTTTTAAAGGGTCTTTGTTGGAAGATATCTGTGTTGCGACGGGGATGGTCCTCTCCCAGCACTTTGTTAAGTTATACAGTCTGGCCGTATGGTTGGCTCCTGGCTCCCGGGTCTTATCCGCTTGAGCAGACGCTTTCCTCTGTCTACCAGCTATCTTCAGGTACGTGAAGGTGTTATGGTATATCGTTCCCTTAGTGACCGCTGTCGCAGCATTGAAGTGAACCTATGAAAGGGAACATCTCGGTTACATATGTAACCTTGGTTCCCTGAATAGGGAACGAGATGCTGCGAAGCCGGCCGTTCCCGTACCTTCGATAGCGCTTCCTTCGTCATGTGGAAATCTGATGAAATAGCGCTCAGCATGCTGATATGGCATACGTGACGTATGCGCGAGGTGGTTCTAAGCGCTATTGGCCAATGAATTGGCGTGATAGTATAATGGCTTCAGACATTCGTCACACCGGAGGTGTTCCCATAGCGACCACTATCGCAGCATCTCGTTCCCTATTCAGGGAACCATGGTTACATACGTAACCAAGATGTTTTTAAGAACTGGGACAGTCTTGCGCACTTACTTCCTGTCGCACGTAAGCACTCTCGAGTGGCCAAGACCACAAGTGTGGGTATTTGGACAAGGGGAGAGTCAAAGCCACTAGAAGGCAAGCCTGCAACCATTAGCCGAAAAAGCGTAACGGCTAAAGCTAATGCTTCCGGTCTGGCAGTACGTGGGAAAGGAGACCAGAGGCCGTTTTTTTTTTTAATGGATGTCAATGGAGAAGAGGCTTTACTACGCTGAACAAACAGCTTTATTGAATCTACAGCCTATCTGCTAATCTTCAACATGTTTTACACTAAACAATACTTTTGGATTAAACTATTTTTAGAGTTTACCACAAAGAAAATGCCATTTTATAAGAGAAGTCACTGACTTTTTGCGACTTCTCATTCATTCCTATGGTATCCGTAAACAGTGATTGAGTGTCGCACAACTCTGACTGAAATTCAATGACGTCAAGGCTGTAAGGTGATTGGTTATTAAGGGACACATGATCCAATTTAGCCGTTACACTTTCTCCAATAGTAAATGATACAGACCCTCTCATCTCCTTATAGTAAGACAGTGTTTAGTTTGGGTACAGGGCCATCGCTAGGAATTCTGTGCCTTGTGCACTGAATTTGCTATGGGGCCCCCTCAAAATCACGTTCGGGGGTGGGGGGGTGGTTCTGGGGGTGGTATGAGTTGCAATCGTAAAATGTAAAATAATGTTTGGGGTCATAGGGCCTTCAGTTGAAGTAAATAAATGAATAAATAAAACAGGACAGAAACGATAGATATGACTGTATTCACGACAAATGCAACAAACTTAACAATGCATTTTTGTCACATAGAAAAGCACTTGACAGTAAAGCATTGATTTTGAGCTAGACTGCTGGAAAGTTACTGCTAATAAATTCTGTCATCATTTCCTCACCCTCATGTTGTTCCAAATGACTTTCTTCTGTTGAACACACAAGAAGGTTTTGTAGAATGTTACCAAACCATTTTGGTTATCCTTGATTTCTACTGTATGGACCAAAATTTCTTGAATTTCTCAAATTATGTTCCACAGAAGAAAGAAATTCATACAGGTTTGGAATGATATGATGTTGAGTAAATGATGACAATTTTCATGTTTGGGTGAATCTCCCTTTAAGAACTTTATTATTTACTGTGACCCTGGAGCACAAAACCAGTAGCACGGATATATTTGTAGCAATAGCCAAAAATACATTGTATGGGTCAAAATTATCGATTTTTCTTTTATGCCAAAAATCATTAAGCAAAGATCATGTTCCATGAAGATATTTTGTAAATTTCCTACCGTAAATATATCAAAACTTAATGTTTGATTACTGTTCATTTTTAACAAATTTAACACACCTCTG